ACAGAAGTTAGTTCCATTATAAACCAATCTGCATACAGAAGTTAGTTCCATTATAAACCAATCTGCATACAGAAGTTAGTTCCATTATAAACCAATCTGCATACAGAAGTTAGTTACATTATAAACCACTTTAGATTAATATAAATTTTAAAACCAATCTGAATTGGAACATTTGGTACCCTTAAAATCAATCCAAATAAATTCATTAAAAAATCACTTTGACTATAGAAATATGATTCCTTAAAACTAATTGTAATATAGAAATTTGCTTCATTTACAATTTGTCTCAATACAGAAATCTGCTAAATTAAAAGCTGTTTGAATATACATATTTACTTCACTAAAAACTTAACTAAATAGAGAAATGCACTCCATTAAAATCATATTCTTGAACAGCTTCAAACACATTCGATAAATTGAAGATAACTGTACATAAAAAAAAAATTTACACAAAACTATATTTTATCAATCGGTCTAATGTTCTCAGAAGTAATACGGTATAATATGAGTTTATACGATACCCTGATCTCTGTCTGCAACCTGGTTCTTTCATATATTGTAAAACATAAACATTATATTCTTGTATACAGACTTGATTATCTTATAAATAACAATAAAAAACATGAAAGTATTACTGCAGTTTACATGAATAATATCGTATTTATCATACTGGTAGTTAAAAACATGACAATATCAGAGCAGTTAAACAAAATTATTCATAATACTAGTCAGCTCAAAGTTAAAAATTGAAACAGAATTATCACTGCCGTTAAAAAATGTTATTACGTTCTACCATACAAATTACTTCTGAAATAACCCAATGATATTAATATCATTTTATATTGTTCCTTTCACTACTAAGTTATTTGCCCCTGTACTAGTGATCACCCTGTATAATATTCTGTGTGACGTTTTGGTCTATTACCCAGAACAGAATATGGGAAAATCTGCTAAGTAGGCCAAACAATTTTAGGGAAAATCTGCTAAGTAGGCCAAACAATTTTAGGGAAAATCTGCTAAATAGGCCAAACAATTTTAGGGAAAATCTGCTAAATAGGCCAAACAATTTTAGGGAAAATCTGCTAAATAGGCAAAAACAATTTTAGGGAAAATCTGCTGAATAGGCCAAACAATTTTAGGGAAAATCTGCTGAATAGGCCAAACAATTTTAGCAGACAGTTAATGACTTCTACTTACACTAGTTTTTATCCATTTCTAGTATGTATTAAGGATGTAATAATGACAAAACTTTAAAAAAGGTGGTCTGTTCATCAAGAAATGAAATAAAACCCCTTTAGATCCATAAGTTATGAGGTTGTTGAATGTTATAAACTTTCCTGGCATGTCTTACCTTATCATACAGGTTAGAATGACTGATTTCTCTAGTCAAGTCCATGAAAAATGATCTTTTTACTAATTTGTTGATTACTCTGAGCCACAGTTTACTGAATTATTGTTAAAATCTTTGCATATAACCAATACATTGTTTTATTATTAGGGACTTTACCCTATTCCATAAGTCCACAAATTAGTAACAGTTTCACATACATACCAAGTAACATAAATTTTCATAACAACAAACTTGTTTGGTAAAAAGTGAAACGTGACTACTTACAGAAGTAAATTGTGACTACTTACACGAGTAAAAGTGTGACTACTTACATAAGTAAAATGTGACTACATACACGAGTAAAGTGTGATTACTTACATAAGTAAAATGTGACTACATACACGAGTAAAGTGTGACTACTTACAAAGTAAAATATGACTACTTACAGAGTAAAATGTGACTACTTACAGAAGTAAAATGTAACTACTTACAGTGTGAAATGTGACTACTTACATGAGTAAAATATGACTACTTACATGAGTAAGATATGACTACTTACAGAAGTAAATGTGACTACTTACAGAAGTAAAATGTAACTACTTACAGAAGTAAAATGTGACTACTTACACGAGTAAAGTGTGATTACTTACATAAGTAAAATGTGACTACATACACGAGTAATATGTGACTATTTAGAGAAGTAAAATGTGACTACTTACACAAGTAAAATATGACTACTTACAGAAGTAAAACATGAATACTTACAGAGTGAAATGTGACTACTTACAGAAGTAAATGTGACTACATTCACGAGTAAGATGTGACTACTTACAGAAGAAAAATGTGCAAGGTTTTCACTTTGAAATGATCACAGACACGTAAAAAAAGAATCAGTAGGACAAGATCATTTTTCCTGTACAATGTTATAATGAAAGAAAACAAATCATTATAAAAACACAACCCTCCCCAATTTCCATAAGTTTTTACATTTGCATCAATCTCAAGAATGATCAATTTAACTGAAAAGTTGGAAATCTCCACAGATTCTCATTTCTGACTGCCACAAAAAAAACCAATAAATTATCCTATACACCTTTTTATCAGAAACTTCATAAATCTGCCCCTGTATAAACTGAATACTAGTTATATTTTGCTGCGTTAACCTTCTCTAATATCTGGTCGCATGCTTAATAAAAACATTAAGAATGAATAATTACCCTCTTAACTTTCTCTGTACTACCTGTTCCAGGTGAGCAAACACTTGTTAATGTCCTACAAGTTCTTCTGCGTGATCATTTGAATGAGCATAGACTGAGTAACACTCATAAATTACACTATACAAGTGTCTTTGTAACACCCACAAATTTCCCTCTGTAACAAACGAACAAACATTAATTAACCATTTTGTAAATTATGTAAAAACAAGCTATAGTAACAAATGGACAATGATTAATCAGCCTAGAAGCTTGTTCCCAGGTGATAGATAGGCTAATTAATCACTGTCCAGTTTTTATAGTAGCTTGTTCCTAGGTGATAGATAGGCTAATTAATCACTGTCCAGTTTTTATGGTATCACCTGGACAAACACTGATTAGCTACTGAAACAACTGGATAAACAATGATTAACTACCTCGTATACCGCCTTAAAACAAGCCACTGTAACAGCTGGACAAACACTGATTAACTACTGTAACAATTGGATAAACAATGATTAACTACCTCGTATACCTCCTTGAAACAAGCCACTGTAACAGCTGGACAAACACTGATTAACTACTGTAACAGCTGGACAAACACTGATTAACTACCTCGTATACCTCCTTGAAACAAGCCACTGTAACAGCTGGACAAACACTGATTAAGTACCTCATATACCCCCTTGAAACAAGCCACTGTAACAGCTGGACAAACAATGATTAACTACCTCATATACTCCCTTGAAACAAGCCACTGTAACAGCTGGACAAACACTGATTAACTCTATGTGTACAGCACTGGTGCATTGAACCAACCTCCCCCATTTTTGTGAAACTATATATAACAAAATTTATAAGCTTTTAGAAAACATTAAAATATGTTGTACACAACAAATGAGGATTTTTAATAAAATATCTCTACTAAAGATATATGTGTGAACTTACTGAGTCAATCTGACACAGACTTTAACTAGTACGAATGCAAAGTGATTTTTTATGTTAAGAATAAAAATACTTTTTTTATCTTAAAATTTTCATGTCTCATTTACATAACTTCTAGAATCTCCTAAATGAATATCAAAGTTTTTTTCTGTAAAACTTTATACTTTATCTGATTTTCTTACACGAACTGTAGTGAAATAATCTGTTGAAATATGCGATTTAAAATCAAAAGCATATTTTTTTCCCTACAATGACTGCAAACTGTAACAGAGAATTACATTTATTTATCCTAAACACCATCAAGCTTGTAACATTTTACATCTGTTTTATTGATCTTTATATATATATATATATCTCACTAGCACAACAAAGCAATAAATCATCCAGTAAGAGCTTAGAGCAAGTTATGGTAAACTAAGTATTGAATTAAACTAGATGTACTTTTGCAGGGTCTCCAAAAGTGTTCTGTTTCAAGAATAAATAAAACTAAAATTAA